AAATGTGTCCGTTTCATTATTTTTAGTGATAATGAAGAAAACCATTCATCCAATGATCATGATAGTGACGATAATAATATATCTGAATCCTCATTATCAACATCATTTAATCAATTTAATACTAAAGATAATGAGGATTATGATGATGAGGAGAATTTTTATGACGACGATAACGAACTTTATAGTTCTTACGAACTATTAACAATTTCAACATCAATATCTCCATTTCCATGTGATCCATATGAATCATATGACTGGGAATCTTGACCTATCTTGTATAAAGATTTATGTATATTTTCTTTTTTTGTTTTTATTTTCGTGTTATGTGTGTCTGTATATATAATTCATTTTGTAAATAAATTATCTGATATGAAGACAAATATAACAAGATATGTATAATCTTCTTTGAAATAGGGTTGTTTAAACTAACTGGTTGAAATTGTCTACTAACTGGCAAGAGTGAATCGTCCAAGAGTATTAAATCTAGTAAATATTCCTTTGGAAATGAAAAGATTCTAATCGATCATTGATATTCTACATATATATAAATATATATATATATAGGAAACACAGAAAATGGATGCTGATGTGCAGGAAATAATAGAAGTCATTGATTTATGTACACCCAATATCGATATCAATGACATATCGATTGAGTTAGTTGTCTTACAAAAAGCATCAACATCAGATACGACGAAAGAACGATTTCCAAATCTTCATCGTCGACTGTCAATTTTACCATGCTTTCCAACAAATAATAATAAACAAAATTATGGTGATCCATTATTACCAAATATACCACGTATGTAACCGAGATTGTAGAATATATATATGAAAGTACTTATACTTGTTGTTAAAATTATAGCTCGTCAGTTAACTCAAGAAGAACTCGCTCGTCGACATTCTGGTGCTTTTAAACCAGCATTCAATATTATCAATTATGATTCGACCATACCATCATTCTTACGTGAAAAATATCATATGTACTTTAGTGTTTTATTTGAACGTTTGAAAGTTGATATATCGATTTTGGATTATAACTATACATGTTTAAATAAATATATAAGAATGTTGGCTTATGAACAGATGCGTGTCTTCAATCTTCGACCACATGAACTTCAACACATTGATGAAAAAGAATATCCTATTGCATTAGAATTCTTTTTACAATTTGATGGTATGCTTTTGTTGATATTATCTTAGTCTTATTTT